ACTCACTATATATACATCACTTTCACATACCGCATAGGAATAAGTCCTATCCAAGAACTATTATTTTATAGTAGTGAAAATTAATAATGATTAAATATATTTTACAGTATAAAATAAATCATTTTATACAGATACTACATATCATTGACATATCATATTTGATATGTACTACTTTTGTTTAAGTAGATTTTTATGATTAAATTTTATACCCTCAACTTTAAACGTGATAACGCATCTGATATTGTATTACAAAACCTAAAATAGTCCTAGTTTAATATGTACACAATTTAATTCATAACGATAGCGTGTGGTTGGACAGTGACATCTAGATCCTCATGACTGGACTCGGGGATTACATTTTAACGTGAAGCTCAGAAATCTGTTTAGACGCAATAAGAATACAAGATATGAGACGTTTGAAAAAAATACAAACTATTTAAGTATAAGAACAGTATTAATACGCTGGAGACCGGCACGTTGAATTGGCACGTTTGTGCATATAGCTGGTCTGAATTATCAACCTGAACTAGGCCTCAGTAAAGGGGTAGGTAATTAACCTTATATTTTCAATTGATTTTTCATACAATTTGAGTTTTTATAATATAAATATCTTGTATCAAACCAATAGTTTTTGAGCCATATAATATACGTTTTAAGTATTAAAGCTTTAAAAGATCATCACAAATAATCAGTTGATACAATATTTACATATCATACTTTTAGGTTAAATCAACATATTCAATGACGAAATTATAATACCTACAAGTTTACAGAAAGGTATTGTCTGAAATAAAAATATAAAACTGTGTTTTTTATTTATAATTGTACTATTTAAAACAGAAAGGGATGATAATGTTTTTAAAATACAAAAAATGTATTCAACAATAAATAAATTATGAAAATGAAATGTATTCTGAAACATTATGCGGTTATTGTGACAAAATTAATAAATTATTAGTAAAAGGTACATCTAGTAGGTATATCACAAATATGTGTTTGCCATTGCTACATTCACATATTATTTCAAATTTTAATTTGATATGTAGTATTTGATATAATATTATAATATACACTCAATATAATATGTGCCTATATCATATTATTATTACCTTTCCTACTCCACAAAATAGATCAATTATATGATTTTGTGATTAAATTACAAGTCAAATTTCAAATTACCGTATAATATTGTATCACACATTTTCATTTAGTGACAGCTATTTATAGTTAAGTGCTTTTCAGAATTTCAGCTGTAAAATATCAATAATATTATTATCACTAAATCTATATAAACATACCTATACTATTTATGAAAGTTTCATTGTATTATTAAACAATTATAAACATTGTACGAATCAAAAAAATAATATTTCCGTATTATATAATATGACTTTCAAAAATTAAATAATAATAAGTTAAAAAAAAATACCTATTTAATTTTAATTTAAATAGTAATTCAACTAATATAAAAACTTACAAAACATGTATAAGTATAATAGTATAATATCAAATATGTATAGTGGTAAGATAATCTATATGGTGAGTAAATTACTTTTTTATGTAGGAAAGGGATATAATTTATAATAGTTTAACTTATTACTTATGAATTATATAATATTATGTTATAATATCAATATAATATGTAAAAATTATATATTAGTGACACACTCTTGACGAATCCTTTTTTTAAAATCATTCATTTGTTTGAACTAAATGGTTTTCCAGGCTTATGAATGGAATATAACATCTATACTCTATATGGCTATATTACACATTTTAACCATGAAAAAGGCACTCAACACTTACTTGCATTGCCAGTATGGACAACTATTGGATACATTTTTGGAAATGTTAACTCTAAAATGTAGACTTCCAATACTCTGAAATTATAGCCTAACTAATTTATAAGCAAATTGTTATTATTTTCAGAAATAATAATGAAAATCATATTAAATTATAACATTAAATGTTAATGTTTTTGGCACCCCCAGTACATTATTCACAGTATCTGCGATCATCTAGGTACCTATTTTTAATACAATAATAGTTACCCACCTATCGCCACTAGTACGGGCTTATTATCGATTAGTACATGGAAATTGGAATTTATATTACTTTGTTTTATGACGAGTCTGTATAGGACACATAATTTACGAAAATAATAATGTTATAATAATTATTGATGGACTTTTATATATTTACGATTGTATAATTATTAGTTATTACGTATTTCTACTATTCATTATACATACATATTTTAATTATTGGAATTAAAATATTTTAGCTGAAAACATCACTACATCAAAATAATATATAGTTTTCCATTTGAGTTCCTAAAAAAAAATATTTACAGTTTCTGTCCAAATATTTTCAAAAGATTTCGATCCAAACTCAATTTTTGCTAGGTAGATTCCAATCTCTGCTTTAAAATACCTATAGTAAACCATTGTTTTTTTATTACAAACACACGGTTTATCTTAATTGAATTTAATGTCTTGTTTTTCTCCAGTTTACAGCTAAATTTAACTTAAGTTTCAGATATCATTAGGTTTTGAGTTTGATTAGAAAAATTAAAATCTAGTTGTATGTTTGTACTTAAGACTTTTTTTTTGAGAAAAAGTATCGTTATTCAAAAATAAAGTGCCGTTTAGTATCACCATGAGGAACCCCGAGTAATGAAATTAATTCCTTAATGTGAAGTTGAAGCATCCTTTATATATATATTTTTTTTTTTATACGATTTAGAGATAGCATTTTGTTCAATTTCGTGAAATTGATATTAATAACAACTCATTTTATGAAATGGGTGTTATAAACTTATAACTGGCATTTATGCAACGTATAATTGTATAATTTGCAGGATGCCCAATAATCAAGATTTAAAATGATGAGAGTCATATACAATCTTCATTACCCCACCACTTTAAATTAGTAAATCCTCATGAGACATTTCATGTATGTATTTTTATTTTTTTTTTTAGAGCCTTTTATTTTTAGTTAACCCTGTTTGTGTTTATTTATATACCAAAATGAAATCCCTAATTACTTACATTTATTTTACGGGTGTATTATTAATATATTGTATCTAAATGAAACGCAATATCGAAAAACAAAAAAGTATATTTGCCACGTTTAACTTCAAACGTGACATATTTTATAAGTGAGAATTAAATAGATTTTACTTTCAGAACATTGTATTAGATATACTTCTAAAAAAAAGCTACAGCCTCACTACAACAATGACAATGGTACTGTGTATAGTGGTTTGAACTTGCGGGGAGGCGAACACACAAATTAAAAACGAATACAAACCGTTCACCGAAGTCAGTTAAAATATAAAACGTGTATTGTTTATTTAAATTTATATAGCATTCTAAATGACCAGACACACACCATGTGGAAAACTTTCACAAGAGACTTTTCTGAACGGCCAGTTCGTCGTAGTCTAATTTTAACCACTTGTCATTTATCCATTACGCCAGTGTCCTTGACAATATGTGTACTGTAGCACATGACATGGGTCTCTTCAAAATATAAAAAGTTTTTTTTTGTTTCAAAAATATTTTCCCTTTGTCTACACAATGTACGCACTTCGGCACTTGTACTATAAATATTACATCTTACTATTTTAGTATTACTAGTGTTAACAAACTATACAGACTATACAGATAAAAATTGATATTTTTTTGATGAACATAGTTAACAAAATTAATATTATTCTAACCGTATCTGAAAACATTAATTTAAGATAATATTATTTAGTGCATATGTTTAACCATTGTATATGAAATACTATTAAGTACAATGAATATTATATATATTTACTCAATGGTTGATACTATAGATAGTGTATGGGACTGGTCAATCAATATAGGAACCGGTAAAAGTATTCGTTAAAAACATAACGATACCAACCTCAACCTACATGATGAAAAAAAAGGATGGAATATTTGATGTGCAATAATTAAGAGGATATCGGTGTACTGTTTTCTCTCTCTGGCCCATACCCAGCATGAATAAAATGTTTTCACGAAAATCATTTTTTGCTTACTTATATTTTTGAGTTATCTTAGTAGTAATCACTCATTTCAGAAATTTTAAGGACTACAATTTTCGAAGGTATGATAAATTGAGTTGTCTAATTATTGTTTCAATACAATATAATGAGCACTTAAATGTACAAAAAAACATTTTTATTTTTCAAGTCGAATATACCCAAAGTCAAATCATAATAAATTATAAGAACTATAGATAAGTCAAATTCTAAAATTTTGTTATAAATGGCTACGGATAATTTTACTTTAAGATTACTCAAAAATAATAAAAAAAAACGATTTCACATACATGCGTTTTATTAGTTTTATTAATGTTGCACGTGGGCCTGAGGGAGAAAACAAATACTGCACCGACATATTTGAATACTATAGTTCATATTTTTCTATCGAAGATCATTATTTACTAAACAAACTCAAACTTTTTCTATCTGGGCCATATTATCTAATTATTTTCTCATATCTCGAAAACCACTCATACAAAATCCGATATGATAGCTCATACTCACCACACTTTTGCATTAAAGCTAGTGTGCCCCAAGGCAGCTACCTCTCTTCTGACCTATTCAATATTTATATGGCCGACATACCAGTTACAACAAACAACACCTTGGCTACTTACGCAGACGACACCGCAATACTTTGTGCTAATAATGACCCTGGCGAAACTTTCCATCGACAACTGATCAACCAAGTGGCGCATAAAAATAAATCCAGTGAATCTGTTTATGCACCATTTACTTTAAAAAGAACAGAACCCCCACCTGCTCACTTTCAAGGTACTCAAATTCCATCATCTACAAATGTCAAATATCTCGGAAGTACCATTAATAAGAGATTAACCTGCGGAGGCCCACACCTTACAGAAAAAAGAAAACCCTCAACAGTCGCCTTCGCCTACTTCGTCTGATTTTAAAGTCAAAACTACCAGTGCACACCAAACTTATAATGTATAAATCTCTTTTGCGTCCAATATGGGTATATGCAATCCAAATTTGGGACTGTGCTAAGCCGTCCCAAATGCGCACGATGCAAGCATTCCAGTCCATTAATCTCCGTATGATAACGTCTGCTCCTTGGTTTGTTTCCAACTCTTCACTACACTCTGGCCTAAAAATCGAGTCAGTTGACCAATTTGCCACCAAAAATCATAGATCATTCTACTCCAAACTACTTTCCCATACTAACCCGTTAGTGTCACAAATCTCATCTACTCAACCCATAAATCCCACCCATAGGCTCAAAAGAAAATATTGCAGAGATTTGTTAATCTAAAATAAATTCACGTTGGGTTCCATCACTGGTTGGCCTCAGTCTTCATATTATTCAAAGTTAAACATGTACGTAAATTATCCAATTTACTTATAGTGATGTCAAACACAGATTGTAAATATGAAAAAAAAATTTATAAAAAAAAAAAGATCATTATTTAAATTGCCAAACTTATTATTTTCTTTATTACGTAGAATTATCAAATAATAAAAACTCATTTCATATAAAATAATTAATACTAATCTTTATTCACCTAAGGATCATTAAATTCTGTATTTTTAAAACTAAAATATTACATAATAAAAAAACATATTATACGTCATGGTGATTTATCAGTTACTATTTTATACCTATTATAATGTATACATACATTTTTTTTCTACATATTTATTGATCCCATCTCCGGTTGTATGATGTATTTATAATGTAACTATATAATATAAAATATGAAAATACGTATTAACTGAAAACAACGCATTTCAATAAAAGTTAATTTTTGAATCTCTTATAGTTTTGTTTATTGTACAACTCTTTTGAACTTTGATAGTATATTTGGATTTTAAAATAATATTTATATAGAATTAATTAAAAACAAAACTAATGTAAACATTAAAGTATACACAACGGGTTTAAGTTTTTCAATTATTTGGCTCATGGACTATATCATATTATTTTGGTAAATTATAATAGAACAGTCCACCAACACTAATAAAATTAAAACCGTTTTGTTTTAAATTTATTTCATAATTCTATGTTATAGTTAATAATTTCATATTTGTTATAATTAAATCATCAGTTGTGTTGAATTGCACACTATTGCGTGGTATTCATACTAAATATGATCATTCGTCTCATAATAACATGTAAGTACCTAGAAAAGTACTTTTTTGCTGTTCGTCTCTTTAAACTATCTTACAGCATTAAATTTTAATATAAAACAACAAGAAATGCAGCCGTAACCTTTTATGAACGATAATTAATACAACACTAGCTAACTCTTTACATTTTTACTACGTTTATGTTTAATTGTTTAAAACACAAAGTTTTAATTTACACATTTGAAGGTAAACTGTTTATTTAAACAACTAACTATCTTTATGAATATTTTTTGATACTTAAATGGTAAATTTTTTTTCTTATACTGATTATAACTTTTTTAGATTCTAACACATGTAATAATTTACTTTTTTGTACTATTATTTAATGTTGAAACTACAAATATAAATTTCAAAAGCTTGCACTTAACAGATTATAATATTTATTCTTAAATCTCAAACATTATTAAAATGAATTAAAATTCTGCAGGTTTTCCAGTTTGCAAGTATTTATAATTCAATATAATATAACATGGTTGAAAATATAACAAAACAGTGTTGTTTTTATTTTAAAGTCTTAACCTTAAAGAATATCATGTAATGTAATATAGAAATTGAATAATAAATTTATAGTCAACATACTAACGTACTTTTAACACTAGACCCTTTGGTAATTGCAAAACTATAACATAATAAAGACATCGAATCGTTTATTTTCACCTTTATATTGACAATTAAGTTGGTAAAATATTCAGCAAGTACATAACACAATAATACACTCAAATATACCTCCTATTTATGTAAGAAATGTTAGAATAAAAAAAACGCTCATAAACAAAATTCATAACACACAATAACCAATGGAATATAGATTATTTTAAAATGTTGATTTTATATTATACGGGCAAGATTTTATAATACCGCTTACATTGCATTTTTGTAAATATTTTTTTAGTATATAAACAAGTCTACATTTTTGTTTAATAATACCGTACTGATCATAATGTATTTTATGGTAGGTCATGTACATTCAGGCAGTATCTCGTGTTATGCCACTAACGGCTTCGAAACGAATAGGTACACGGTTAAATAATAAAATACCTATTGTAAATACTTATAATTAAATTAGAATTACTTATAGGTCAATTTATAATTGTAAATATATAAATAAAATGTCTGTGAATCATAATCTGGAGTCAAAAGAACGTTTTAGTTAAAAAATTATAACCATTTAGCATAAAATCACATATTCTGCAAATTATACACTGTCTCAAATTAGAGTAAACTCAATCTGTGAACTTCTGTCAGACCTTACTGTTGAACTAGTTATCGCCCTATAAAAATTTAATCGAGGTTTATCATTGATATATCCTTTATGCGAAATATCAAATGTTTCAAATTAATATGGTATAGAGGTTTTATTTCATAAAAACTGTAATAATTTAATCTAAATATCTACTGTTCAAGAAAATGAAACTAAAAATTGACAATGACCAGGCTTTGGTAAAAATGTTAGGTATCTAAAATGTTTTATATACCTAGAGGTCTGATATGGGACGTTTTGTAAATTATATAGGTATTTCCTTTTAAATGGTGTACTCAAATTTATTTATTTTTAAATAAAAATAAAATGTCCATTACCAAAACTTTTTAAAATGCTTGAGCTGAATCTTCTTGAATAGGACGTTGTGGAAATTAACTTGTAATTTTTTTTGTTTTGTTTTAGTCGACGGAGGTGGTTGTCCTTCACCCGGCCTGACGCTGAATGGCACTAGAGTTATTCCACGGTCGGGCATGTCACCGGACTTTTCAACCCTGTCTGAGGTGAAATTCCCAGCACGTCTGCCATCGCCTTCTGGCAAGGGATCGGCTTCAGTGGCGTCGTCGTCCTCGGTAGATGCTGAAGCGCCGTCTAGGATCTGCAAGATAAAATGTGTGTCGGGCCAATGGGTCGGTCCTCTGTGCCAAGGTCCGTATACACTTAATATATGTGCATACAATACATATTATACTCGCATTATTGTGGTTTATTCGTCTTTGTTTTAAAATCCATTAGAAAAAGTACACAATTCCCTTCTCAGGCCTCTTCTCTTCCACCTACGAGATTGTATACGATCTCATACCGTCTCATACTGAAGCATTTGACAATTATTGTCGTTTTCCGAACACCTCAATGAAGCGATTGTTACTTCTTGTTATGATCTTATTCGTGTACACGTATTTTGTATAATATTATGCTCACATACTAAAAAAAGTTTTTACTCAGTCGGATAGTGACTTTTTTTTATTTATTTTTCCTATAAATATCGATAGAAAAATTGTTACTGCATCAAAAGTTTGAAAATATAGTATTTATATACAACGTTATAAGGTTCATTGTAAGTATTTGAAATAGTAGTTCAAAAATGTTAAAGTTACGTATGGATAATTTTTTTTATAAGCATGTGATATTCAAATGTTGACAAAATTCATCAAAATCACGAAAATCTGCAATTTAAAAATGTATGAAATGTTTAATTTTCTAGCCAAGAATTAACAATTTAAAAAATAATTGTTTCTAACTTTAAGGTAATGGTTTATAATAATTATATCAGTGAATTCCAAACTATAAAAATTATGTAAATGCAGTTTTTTAAATAGATATTTATAAGTTTAAATTTAGGCAAGCTTTTATATATTTTAAACGGAGAATAATGATCAAATTTTTTTTTTAAGATGTTCAAATGTAAAAAATAAAAAAAATCAATACATTATTTAGTGCTATGCATTTTAATTATATTTTAAACAATATTTTATTATAGATCATTTTCTATTTTTTATTTCTATTTCTATTTGAAATAATAAACTTTTAATTAGAAGGATCTTTCATACGATACCTACCCAGTTGTGAAGTAAAAATGTGAAGTAGTTATAATATGAACGTACTTTTGCAAATACCTATAACATGGAATGTCAATATATTTTACTTAAATACAATCCATTATACACTCTGCAGTCCACGTGCACTATAATACAAATGGCGTAATTGGCTAATTGCGTTTCTCCTTAGGCGCACTCAAAGTTTGTTAATATTCCATCACGAAGCACTACAACTTGTCTCTCTAGTCTTTGCTTCTCACTGGATATAACGGAATATAACGTGTTCAATTGTCATAACCGGAAGGGCTCTTGTTACAAGCTGTAAACAATGCGAAACCACAATGTGATGTTACAGTATGACATTTACAAATATTTATCTCAATTTAGACGAAACTATTTCAAGTCTTCGTGTCGGTGCGAGTAACGTAATATGTGCTTGCATCACGGTTTACACGTTTATAATAATTATAAACAAATAATTAATTTGTACGTGGTACCCTCTCGACCAACCAAGTCCGATATCTAAAAAAAAAATTTATCATAAAGACGATACAGAATACTATCTGTATTAATACATACTTCTCTACTTAGAATTAATATACTTTTATGAAGTTGGATATAATATATGGTTTAAATATTTAAATTAAGTCTTTTGTCAATTATGCGTTGTACAAAGCACATACGTGACATAAATACAGATATAATTTTCCGTAGTAAATATTCAGCAACATTTATAATTAACTCTTCTCGAGCATAATACAATATTATTTATTAAAATTATAATTTTAATGAATGCATACAAAAAATCATCAAACTCGTAAATATTTGTAAGTTATTTAAATATTAATACTTTTTTAAAAGCAAGGACTTGTTGATTCTTGAAAATAAATATAATGAGAAAGGTTTCATTGATATCTGGTTTTGATTTTTAAAACATGGAATATTAAATTATTTATCGTTTGAACGAAGTAAATTATTGTGTAAAGAGTTTGTTTTTATTTTTATTTTTATTTATATTTAGTATTAAATACGAGTTATTCGATTATGTAAATAATAATTAAACGTACCTACCTATTAAATTTATATTCCAGCATTTCTTATACTGGTAATGCTTCGGGTTATTTTGAAAAGGTACAATTTTATTTAAAACTCTCTCAAATCTTGATTATATTTACTATTTACTTAATGGTGTAGAGTAAGGAGTTTTTAAATTGAATAACAGTTCGAGGAACACTAAATAAACAAATCAAACATTAAGGAAAACATTTATAAACATAATATGGTTATAAAAACTTGTATGTATTTTTGACCAGAAAAAATGTACTAGTTGATAATGATCTGAATATAATATTCATACAGGGTGATTTTTTTAGCATGCTCACCTTATTTGAGTGCTTTAATTATATATACTTTACACAAATTATGCAGATTTTTGGAATTTTGAAATACACTTGAGGTTTTTTGTACCACTTAGGAATGATAATTCTGTGACAATACAAACTTCTGTTCTTCAAATAGAACCCCCTTTTCACTTTAAATTAATTAAAATATTTTTTTTTGAGAATTTTGATGTACCTATCTAAATCAAAATTCGTGTTAGTAGTTTTTGAGTTCTATGTCTTTGTGTACTAAGGATAATAATATGCTATGGTATTTTATTATATGGTTAGGTGGATATGGGGGCTTAGACGATTAGAAAAAGTTGGTTATTACTATTGATTTATCAATATTAATAATTTGTAAAAACTTTCCAAGTATAATAAATACTACATCTAACATAACGTCTAGTTTTTATTTTTATAAAACCATTTTTTAGAATTATTATCCTTATTGTAAACATTGTAATAACTCAGAAACTACTCATCCGAATTTTGATTTAGATACATCAACATTTTCAAAAAAAAATATCCGCTAAATAATCTTTAGAAAAAAGGGAAGTTCTCATTTAAAAAATAGAAGTTTGTAACACCACAAGACAGTAATAAACAAGTAGTACAAAAAATATCATAAATTTAAAAATATTGTCTTCGGGTATTTAAAAACTCTAAAAATCAGAATTTGAATAAATATAATATTAAGGGGAAAAATGAGGGCGAGCATGCTTAAAAAATTACCATGTGTAATATGTTTTATTATTATATAAAAAAACTAACGACATATGTCGCCATGAGTGATATCGGTAAAATTAAATGACATTAAATATTGAAGTTTAACAATGCATAAATGATCATAGTATATACACTACCTACTAGAATACTAGATTATACGGTAAGAAGAATTATATCTTGTCGAGTAGATGAATGGTGACAATGAATTTGATTATGATGAATATCGAGTTGGTTGAGTGATCCAGGGAGAGATTCTGGAAACTTAGATTTTTCTCTGTCCTGAACATATACACAACATTCGGTGGAAATATGTTTGATATCTGCAATACGAACCCCATAAGTAGTATATTATATTGGATGGTGCTCCTTAGTCATTAAAAAAACTTAGTGACATTTTTGTGTAGCCAATTCTCAGTCTGGTGATAATGACTTCGAACATTCTGGGAACATTGAGAAGGAAATGAAATATTATATTGTATTTTATTGTTCTGTGTAACCTAATAGTTATTTATTAATTTCAATATAAATATTTATTAGAAAGTAGTTATATTATTGATTTTAGTTTTTAAATTGATTTGTGGTGTATAACATTATGCATATAAATGTCTTGAATATCAAAACAAATATATAAAAGATAAAACCACCTCCAGTGAATTTGTATCACAATTGTTGCATATGTAAATTATTTTAATATGCAACATCTAAAAAAATACTCAGGGGCCTAGCTACTGCCTCTAATTTTTGCTCGAAAAACCTTTAGTTTTGACAAAATCAAACCTAGTGCACGTCGTCTGGTTTTTATTTAAAAAAAAAAATTGAACTCTACAGAAAATTGTCTATGGATCGTGTGAAACAATTTGTAGAAACTAAATCTTATATATAATTGTGAACTGTAATTGAAAACTTGAAAATATGAACTTTTTCAAATCATAATTGAAATGAATATTAAAAACGGAAAGTGTTTTTTACGATCTACAGACATTTTTCTGCTGAATTCAAATATTTTTTCAGAATAAAGATCAGACAAAATTAACTTACTTTAATTTTTTAAAACAATAAGTAATTTGTTGTAAAATCCGAAGGTAAATTTTATATTTTTATCGTGTTCTTGACATTTGCATGAGCGTATGAGAATGGTACTTGCATTAAATTTCCCACACATTAATAATTATTTAGGTACAACTAACACATAGATCCCGGGCAGCTAAGACGATATTAAAAATTGCTAAATATTGATAATTAAATAATAGCCCTAGCGATGCCTCTTAAGAGATTCGATAAAAAATGTTATTTATTTAACATCCAATTTAACCTTTTAACTTAAAAGTTTCATATCAAGATCCATGCGTAAGCAAAACAATTTTTTAAGAAATGTTTTTATTTTTAACATAATAATATATAGTTAGGACCGTAGGGTTGAATTGATTCCATAGAATTTTAAGGTTGATATTATACACGTTTTTTTTTTTTTAATATGATTGAATTGTGTTACATACCACAATGACGATCAATACCATACAATTATGTACACTATAGGAAATAATTGATTAGAATGTACATTAAATGCTTAATAACACACAACCAAGCATCTGGCTGTGCAACATTATAACATTCTATTACGAATATCTATAAGCACCAAGTTTGAAAATGTATTAACTTTGAAAGGCTTCAACCCCCAAATTCGAGTGACATCATAGATTTTAGTAGGTAGTATAAATTCTTTAGCTCCGTAACTGTTCGAGCAGAGGATTGTGGTCGATCGTTTGGTTTTTCCAATTGCGACTTTGTCCTTTGAACTTTGAAGATAGATATCCCAATTATCTGCGGACAATGAACTACGTGATCTGAAACGTGGTCGCGGTCGGTAAACGCTGGTAATCCCAAGTGATCTTACAACCACCGAAACCGACTTCAGTTTCATGCTAGACCGAGAAAGCGAATTATCACGGTGGCGGAATATATTGTGAGGGCCGGAAGGTAACGACAACTATGATTTCCCATTATTATGGGAAACGTCCACCGATTAACTCACAACATTAATATAATACGATAGAAGCAAGTTACAATAGTCGAGGTCGAAAACTAAGCAACATCATTTTTCATTTTATTTCATTTACAAAATAAAAATGATTTCTAAAAATAAAATTCATATCACCCAATACATATTGTACATTGTTAAGACATTATAATATACTGTACACCCCAACTGAAAAATGTGATAATGTATTGGAATCGTCATTACTCATATCGTTCTCAGTGTTAACAAATAAATTATTTTGGTTTTGATTGTCATTAATTTTGTTTATTTTTTAATCATCAGTAATGAATAGTATAATATTACTCAATAATGAAAGATACAGATAAATCATCAAAGGATTCACCATTATGCATGTTTTTAGATTTTGAGTGTAGAGCAATGATTTTTTGTGTTTTTATTTATTTTATTTTACGGTAGAGTACATCTATTAAAATTGTATTCAATATCTTGAATATTTCGGTGAGTCAAAATTAAAATATTCCCAGTAATTTTCAAAATGATCGGGAAAATATCTAGAAAAAATACTGAAAATGGGAATATTTTCAGAACTCTAGCTGGTTTCAGACTAAACTGGTTTTTAAACTATTAAAAAAACAACTGTAGATCCTTGTAAGTTTAACTAAATATTTATATAAGACATTTTTTTAACGATTTAAAATGTTTATCATTTGAAATTGTATTCTTTTAGTTTTATATCGATTTATGATAATAGAATATTTATTTGCAAGTCATAAAATATTGTTAGAAACACTGTTTCCGCAGAGAATCGTTTTTCGAATTCATTGATTTATCGTAGAATTCAAATTTATCATAATGAGGTATACTCGATAGGCTATGCTCTGGTCCTAGTGTACAGAAGAGAGGATACACACTTTCTCAACTTTTTTATTTGTAAATCTACAATAGTCACATAGGTAATTGAAGGTTTAATATGCTATTAAACGCATGTTGTATATTTATTTCTAATCAATCAAAAATGTAATTGAATATGTGTGAATATAAAATTCAGTAGGCGGAAAAAAAGTCCACGAAAAAAAATTAAAAATAATTGTGAACACATCTATACATTAAATACAGTGTTATAACTTAAGAGTAAAAACATCAGGGGTATATAAGTGGTATAAGTATAATATCTTAGGTATATAAATTATACTACATTTACACAAAAATTACCCAGCTATAAAAATAATAATATGATAAGTTAATACAAAACAGGTGGTAGTAAAATATATTTAGTCAAAAATTATAGTAAAAAAACATCAGCCTTACGTATACACATACTACATGTAAACAAAAATTACACATGATAATAACTTATGACATTATTTTCATTATAATATATTATTATATTTTGTTATAGGTACACTCCACACCGGAGTTACTAATATAGGAGTAGAGTATACATGTGTTCATATTCATATTTTATTTTTTTTCTGGTTTTTTTTAAGTGGTCTTTTTCCCGCAATTCATAAAAATCATATGTATTCCAATCGAGTGTTTGAATGTAAACAAAATACATGAAGCATAATTATTGAATAAATACTTGATGTCCTATTTAATTACGAAGGTGGTGAGACAACGCAAATTAAATTCTACATCAATTGTTTAAGTTAGTAGTATTATGTAAATGAACACTTTGTATGGGGACATAATAAACAGTGATTAGTCATTAACGCAATACCTTTTCTATTACCTAGGTATCTACCCGCTTATAACCGTTGTGGGCACAAGTACAATAAACAATGTTAATTGTTATTATGATACGTATTTTTAAAATTAATAATTATGTTCTGATGTTTAAAAATTTCAATTTTTAAGTGAAACTACAACTTTATTTTAACTAAAACTACTTATTGTTTAGTTAAATTATCATATTATAATATATATTAAGGTGCACATTTAAATTACATATTATTTTAATTTATTGATGGTCATTATTTTTTAGAAGTAAATGGTGATGGCAGATTTCAGCCAATACTAAAGTCATGTGCATTGGAAGAAGTGCCACCAAATCTTATTCTATCATTTAAAAATCGGATCATCATAGTAAGTATTTTCTCTATACCTATAATAGTTATAAAAGTAAACAAAATATTTTTATCAGATATTAAAAAATAGTATGATCGATCACATGCTCATTTATATGTATTTGGTCTATCTGCCTTAAAATTATAAGTAGATAACAAGGGATTTTTTTCAAGAAATAATTTTACCATGTACCCACCAACAGATTTATTAAAAGTATTAAATATTAAAATGTTCAAAAGTGTTGGTCTTAATATAAATTAATATCTTAACTAACTGCTATACCTAAGATTTAGATTACGTTATTAGATTATTATTATAATTTATTGACCATTAAACGTGGTTATATTACTGTACAGATAGTTTATGCAGGTTGGGGAAATTTATAAGTCATGAAGTAATTAATGTATTATTCACAGATTACATTGTTTAAAAACGTAATAAGACCTATAATTGTGAATGAAATATATTTAATACAAAGTAGATACAAACTGTTAAACTGTAGCATCAGCTGATATTTCAATAGGGATTTATTTAAAACTTTTTTTTATGGATACGATTTACAGATCTTTACCAATTACATACATATTTTTAAATCCACCTTATTTAAATCATACTATTTTGTGCATATTTAATGTTGATGTACACCTAGGTGACAATAATATAATATGTATTAGCTATTTATCTATCGAATATTATGGAAAATATAGTTATAAGAAATAATAAGTGCTCGTTATGAGCTTATACTTTTTTTTGTGACTTTTGAAACTTATATAATCGCTATGTTTGTCACTTAATTGTTTTAAGAGTCATCTAAATATGACTCATTTTTAAGTGTTAAATATACTTAATTTAATAGTTTATGTTTTAAAGAACATACAGACATACAGTATTTTTTATGCACAAGATTTATTCCAACAGGTGTGCTTAAATTTTGTATTTAAAAACATGACCTTTTTGGAATTTGGAGGTACCAACTTACTACTCTGATTTGAATTCAAATTTTTAAAGGTACCACGTGTGAGTATTTTTGAGAACATTTTCTCAGAAACATATAAGACACAATAATGAAATAAAATGGCGTACCTACATAATATGTAGGTATACATTCCAAAAATCCTAAGCAATAAAAAAAACATATCCGAATCCTAACCTAATCTATGTTTCCGTCATTTTTTAGTAATATTTTATACCATAGTATAAAGAATAAGAAGTTTGATGAATGATAAGATTGAGCATATTTTTTTGATGTTCAACTTATAATTTATTATACACGCAACCAATAATAAACTCAAAGTGACGTCACAATATGTATATACATATAAATCGTATACAATCTTGTACAAAAACACGAGGCAATACCTGAACTAGGACGTCAACACGGTTTGTGTTGAGCAAACTTCTCACTTCTTTTACTGATATATTAAAATATACATAATATATGTATCAACTGACAACTAGAATGCTATACAGAATATATTATTATATATTAATATGAATAATATGACTAATACAATATTATAGTACAAGTAATATGTTAGATAATTAATGTACAAGTATATATACTTTAATGGGTACCAATTAATAATAAATTGATATACATTAGTCAAGAATATTACAATAAAAACTAGTTACTATAATGGAAACACAGATAAAAACAAATGATTTCTAACTAGATTTCACTATTGCATGCACCGCAGTAGTTTTTTTAAATATTTAATTGAAAATACATTTATAGTTACATTATACAGTTTAAATATTTAAGAATAGTTTATAATACTTAATCTTTATATAGTAAATAATACTAAAATCAATACTTATTGTTTTTGAACAGTTTTTAATCCATCATATACTTTTTCATAATTTTAAGTTTAAATTTTTGTAAAATATATGTATTTATGTGATATAATAGCGTTTTATGGTTTTATAAATATTACAATATAATTTATATTTTATATTACGTGAAACAATACTGAGTAAGAAAGTTTTATCACCATTTCTAATAACATGCAGAAATAAATTATTGACAGAATCGTACTTAATTTTATTCAAAATAAACTTATGAAACTTATGTGAATAGAAAAATTAAAATTAAGGAACGTCTGAGGCGAATATAGCTTGTAACAATTATTCTGAAAGAGTAAGTTACAACAATTATCTATAATAAGTTAATAATGATCCCATTGAATTCGTTTTAAGAAGTTGTGTTTTGTTTTGACTTTGTTGAAATAAAATTAACTTTTCAATAATGTACGTTCTAAAGAAAAAACTGCTTTTAAAATACCCTACTTTATATTTTCAATGTGTATACATATGGTGTAGATTGGTTAATACTACTAACGTATTTAACATTATTTATTTAGTCACCAAAAATATTTAAATACTATTTTTCTATTTAATTTACATACTACATACAGTTAAAGATTTTTATTGAAAATACAACTGCATTTTTATAATAGTATAAGAAGAATGGACAATAGTTTATAGTAGACTTAGGTGTATTAAAATAATTTCAATACAAAATAAAATGTTTTTTTTTTAGTATCATCCGTAGATCGTTATTACCTTTTTTTATTAAATTTGGTTGAAACGTTTAATTTTGAATTTTTCACTTCGAATCTTGTGTTCTACAAATTTCATATCCTCCTCTTGACTTCGCAATATTGAAATATTAATACTAATATGTCATATGAGTTATAATATTATTTTCCCGCGTAAAATATTTATAAGAAATTCAGTTTGGACTTTTATGCACAGAAACAAATAATTTAGATTATAATTTTTATGGGTATTTTTATTTAAAAATTAATAGAATAAAATTCCACCATTTCATAAAAAAATAACAAATTATTTGTGAAATCATGTAAAAATCATCAGATAACTAAACATAATGTTATATATTATGTTGTATATTATTTAATAAAAAACGTCTGTAATTCAATATGACTTATTAATTTATAATTTAATTAAATCTATAATTAGTCAAAGAATTGATTAATATTTAAAATTCACACTAAACAAAAACATTTTAATTTTACTAATTATATTTTAGAAAATAATTGATGGAGCCCTTATAAGTTATAAGTAATACTCCTTTTTTAAATGCTTCAACATAAATCATGCTGACAATAGTGTCCATGCGGGCTCAGCACTATTAATTACAACTTACTATATACTCCATACTGACAAACACTATTAAGTTTCTGCCAAGATAACTTGTCTCACAATCAAGTGCAATCAGTAATCACTAATAATATCTACAAAATAAAATATTTATTTTCTTATTTCACCAGCGTTATATTATAAAATATTAATTTTCTCAATACTTCAAAATACAAGAATACTCTTTGAATTTTTGAATGGTATGCCATAGTATTACTAGCAAGTAGCAATGTGAATGTGGAACATGCGTAGACAATGTAATCATATTATTAATACCTACGTATAAAAAATATTGATACCTACGTTTATTACGTATAAATTCTTTGCACGGTGAATTTTCCACGATCCGTATGTACGACTGACTATCTCACTTATTATAGGTATGACAGTATATTATACATACTCTTACAAGTTATAAGTGATAATGTCCAGTTTAGTAACCTACCTATGTATGTCCATCAATTTTTTCATCCATTACGTAATTTCAGTGCAATTCACTACAAATAATGGCCAATTTTTCGTTATGGTTATGTCTAATAAGTAATAAAATTATTATGTTTAATTGAAGTAAAATAAAGAGCAACATTTCTTTTTTTATCATGGCAAATTTATTGTTAATGTTTAAACAAGATAGAGATTAAATCTAAAACTAATAATGTTATTCGTAAAACAGCTGACTTCAATTTTTCTTTCAAGTAAAATTGAATTAATTCATCTATAAAGACATTTTTATGTGTTCGTAAAAATATATGATAAACATAACGATTTATTTTTACATAAATTAAATTCAGAGTCCTTTATGTATGTTTAATAATTTTCAGTGATGATAATAAACGAATCAACATATTTTTAGTGAGCTTAGTTCTTGTAACATGTTACAATTGTTCACTTCCATTTGATCAATGAAAATTATGATTTTATAAATTACCCTAAGAAATGTTTTATTATATTATATTTATTATTGATACATACTCAATGTTGTAAAATATTATGAAATACCTATAAATCCTGTATATTTTATGTATGAAATACTATCATAATGTCTTATGTACTTATATAATACCACATACTAGTAGTTAATATGCATATAAAAAAATACAGTACCCTAGCTGTGGCTGGTACCTACCATGATGATAATAACTATGCGTATTTAATAGGGTTGTTAATTATTGCATGATAATTGTATTATTCTTGATGTATGCTTTATATAAGAACTAGTAAGTATAGTAGTATAGTTGGAAAATAATTGTTCAAAACGAATCGAACTAATATTTCACATTTATTGACATTTTTAGCGAGCGAGTTATGAATATAAGTTAATTTGTGGTTGCAGGTTATTATTTGTATTCTAATGTAAGTCACAGTGACACTATTATATATACACTATAATAACTGAGATCATATTTACATACATATTAATTTTCTCTTCTTTGATGTTTATTTAATTGTCTATTACTATTACACCATTGTTGTTGCATGCTAAATATTATTCTGCTCACAGAGAAAAAAAACTTGGCACTCATTAAATTTTTAAATATTCAAACAATTATTTCCTTTATTCTTTATTTTAGTATATTTTCTTGTTTGAATTATTTGTAAGCATAATTATTTTTTGTTTAAATATTATGCGCTTCTTTGACATGGAAGATTAACATTTTTTTATTCAAATATTTTACAACAATCAATTAGTTCATTTTTCGTCATTTATTTTACAAGTATATGTAAGTTTGGTTTTATAGTTTATTTTTTTACATCCAATTTAACTACATATATAATATATATAATAAACCTGTGTATAGTGTATAGTATGTATTATTTTTGACTACTATACTTATATATTATTATACGTGTATACCGTGGTTATTTTCGAGGTTTTTCTGTAGGTATTTCGACATCGGAATTAAAAAGATAAGTTAATTTCAAGGAAGATACAATTTTATATTTAAATTAACTATTAAATAATTTAGTTCTGCCTGATATTTATTTTATGGAAGTTATTGAATAATCTTATATATAAACTATAAATGCAGTAATTGTTATCAATAAAATTAAAGAAAACAAAAGTTACAGACAATTAGAATTATACCTACCTTTATATTATTATATGTTTTGTACTATTTATATTTTATTATTGTTTTTGAAAGTTAATATTTGAGGAGTAACGTTATCGTTTACTATTATGGGAGTTACATAATCTAAGAAATCTGTAATACATTACAATATACATTTTTTTTTTAGTTATGATAACTGTTCTATACCATTGTTAGTTAATGCAAGATAGTGTCCTGGGTTTTTTATTCAGTTAGTTTTGTAATTATCATTCCCATCTACTATTAAATAATTTACCGGAAAACCCATATTACAGTTATCGAATGGAATCATGTCACTATACCACCACCAAGTAAGTATCCGTTTTCTACCATCTGATTGTGCTGTATTATGTATTTTTTCTCTTATTTCCACGGGGCCTATTGGATTGGGATGAACCTTGTAAATTTTGCAGCGATCGTGAGTTTTTTACAGAGTGTGATTGTTTTTTTTTTTTTTACGTGCAGGTTCAGGCGCCTTTGGCGTAGAGGATTGAAAATGTATTTCTAGAAACTTTCAAGTAATTTCAGTGTAGTCGTGATTGTTTTAGTACTTTTCTCCCGTCGTAAATTTATCGACTACGAATGAATAATAACATTCCCGTGTTATTACTTTATCTATCTCTTCATACAGGTACAGGTAGATCTAATATTTTTAATTTATCTGCAAATAAATAATAACACATGGTGAAATATTTAAATTTAATTTATACAATTGATAACGTGTAACGCATGATTGAAAAAAATAGTCAACTTCCCTCTGATTTTTGGTAATTAAAAATTCTTATCTGGAATATGTATTTATTTTTATTTTAAATGTTAAAGTATAATGACATCTTTAAAGCATAATTTATGTATCTAGGTCTGTATTTAATTTGAAATTGCACTGCAGGAAAAATGAAGAAAAATGTGTTTTATATTTATCAATGAAAACAGTTTCCTATGTTAAAATTAATTTAAAAGTTAGAACATACAATTTAAGAATTAATTTACTTTTATTCTAAAGTTGTTTTCACTGGGGACAATAAACTCAATGGTACAAATTGAAACACTTACAAAATACGAAATAAGTTTTTCGGAAATAAAATATACCTATCAATTTTTTAAGAATGTTATTTGTTTTTCTTAATGTGGATGACCATACTGTTATTATAACTCATCTCAACAAATTCGTTTACTTATATTATGCATTATAATATTTCAAAAGCCAAGACGTCTATTTATTATTCGTATATTGTATGTTCAGAAATGTTTCGTACAGGTATATATTTTTATGTTTACATGTATTATTTTTTTCTTATTCAAAAATACGAAATAATGATACCAACCTTACTTGAAAAAAAAATTAGAATACCACAAGATCTATAAAGGTACATGTACAATATACGTACCTGCCATGTTATTGTGGTATATTTTGTATACCTACGAAAATTCAACCCCTATTAGGTGGTATTTTCATAGAAAGTGTAGGCACTGTTCAAATCATTGAGAGTATTAATATCTACGCCTTTACAAATATTATACTTAGTGTCCTTATGAGTTCTGACAAGTTAAAAAATAATATATGTAATAATAATGGTTTAATAAAAGTTTAATAGATTATAGAATTACTAATAATCTAACAGATTAGTTGTTATTTTAGATTCTGAGAGGAGCTATGATTGTATTGAATTTACTAGAAATATATCAAATTATTAAATCAATTAATTGTTTAATGAATTTCAAAATAATTCAGTGTTTTCTATTTCTATTAATATTGTACTATTGATGATTATTTTTATTTAAAATAATTATTTACCCATCTATTTATTTAATATGATAAATTGATATATATATGTTTTATGACTGTAGGACGTAGGTCATTCCGTAGGCCACATTTGTGTGCGATACCGAAAATGTTACCATTATGACGTGATCATACTTTGTCAACTGAATGTACCAATGTATTTGAATGCAGTGTGGATACTTTTTATCTTTTTACAATTATAATAATATTAAATTACATAATTTTCTAAAATAAAAACTTTCCTCTAAGTACTCCTATATTATCTTTTAGGTCATAATATGAAAAAGTAGAGTATCTATACGATATATATAAGTCTAAGGTGTATGTAGAACTATAAAATATGTATATTAACTATATTGGCTATTGTACAACAAACTGTATTTTGTACATTTTTTTACAGATTTTTAAATTACATTATCGTTTTTAAACAAAGTTTTATAGCTAATCAACTAGTCAAGTGGTAAATAATTTTGATAAAAATAACAAACTGAAATATTTTTAATCTTGGAGAATTTTTAATTTTTTTTTCAAGTCTGTTTAAAATTATTCATCAAAACCGTTTCGCATGATTTGTTAAATTAAGTTAGTGTTCAATATAATATTCACCAGCACGCCGCGCGAAGACTTTTTTAGAGCAAAAATGTCAAAATAATGAAAAGGGAAAATTTGATAAAACCCATTGGCGCGTGAAGACTGACGAGTTGAAACACACCCAATTCATATTCTGAGTGCAGGACACTTGTCTGAGGGTGAGCGGTCGTTGGCACGCGAGGCAATCCCTTCCAGTCACTTGTTAATTACAGCTTCGGAATCACATTTACATATAATAATAATTCGCGTATTTATACACGCAAAACCTGAGGCAGCCTTGGTCGTGGCTCCGGGAAAGTCCGTTTGTGGGATGTCCTATTTATTATTATGATTATTGTAGTTACTATAATTATTATCATAATCACTTCAACATTGGTAGAAGGAGGAGGGATTTGTATGGTAGCGAAGTGTCCGTTTGTTATTATACACTAGTGGCTGGTTTGCTTGAATGGACTCGAATGCCCTCTCTATAATTGTTAGGTACACAACTCACCGTTTGAATATTATGAGAAATTGTATTACACAGCTGGCTATTGAGGTTTACTTGGTTACGTGGTGTAAATTGGTTTGAACATGCCATCGAATCGTTTGTATAAAACACAGAAATTATTGTTAAGTGGTATTGCGAAGTGCTGTTGTACGCCTGTACCTATATGTGAACAACTGTTTGTCTCATTTCATAAAACTTATTTTAGAATTATTAAATTGAAATTACGTTTATCATGCTCTAGAATTATAGTTCTTTACTAAAAATAATACATTAATTTTTAATAACATGGAACACTACCAATGTTTAATAATGTCCCTACTAGTTTTAATTTATCACAGTACAATGTTTACTTTCAACAATAGTCTTTTCATTAATGTTTAAATATTAAATTTTAATTAAATCATAATTAGTATAGAAGATATCAAAATCTGAAAGTTTTGACTCTATTATTGGAAACAGCAGGGTCATTTTGTACTGATATACCTGTTAGACAATCAAACCTGTTAAACGTGTTGGAAACATTGGTTTGTTCTAATACAAAAGTTCCATAGATATTATCGAACATTTTCATTGTAAACCAATGTATAAAAGTGTCAATAAATTTAATGCATTCGTGTTTTTTTTTAAAAATGCACACACATTACCATTTAAACATTCTACATACATTAGGTATATAATATATAGGTATACAATCCGTAATGAGGGAATGCGATTACTCCATGAACGATAACTCATATTGCAATATTGTTCTCGTTTTTTGTTCTCGTACAATTATCACGTATTTGATTTATTGTAATCCCAATGCAGGCAGCTGCTATTAGTTATATGACAGAGATTATATTTTTTTTTAATCCAATATCACACACACACAAAAAACACACAAATAATGTCATTGTACTCATTTGTAATAGATTATATATTTTCAATAAATAGTATTGTATCGTGAAAATCAAAATTAAAAATAATGTGCTAAAGAAAATGTATAAATTTAAATTTTAACGAATAACCATTGTGTTTTTTTTTTTTAGGAATTCAATACAACAATTCCACACAATAGCACAATATCAGCCCGGTGTCAAGAACCTATTGGCACGTATAAACTTAGCGGACCTCCAGTGTTAAATTGCAGCAATGGCATTTGGTCTAGTCCAATACCGAAGTGTCAGCCAACAACTCTATTCACTAATTATTCAGGTATATTGTTATTTTTACACCTAATATCGTTACCATTACCTATTAGATCATTAACAAAATAAGTTTAAACAAATTTAATATAAATTAATTTGTCATAAAAAATGAGTTATTTTTATTTGAAATAAAGTTCAATTAACTAACTTAATATTAATGTATTTTTAGTTATTTTCATTGAAGCTACAAACATACATGATACCTTTGAAAAAAAATATCTAAGTTATTTATATTGTATTAATACAAATACCTACAATTATTGGCTGTGAGTTAGAACATAAAAATTCAAAAATTTATTTTTATTAGTTATACAATTTATTCCAACATTTAAGTGCACCAACATTTGGGAAGCTCAATTATACTTTTACTAGTTCAATTAATGGTTAAAAATATCAGATAGGTTGGACCCTGCTTTCTCAGAACAATTCGAATCACCATGATTAGGTATTGCTATAATGTATATTTATGAAGGTTCTTAAATCAAATAATTACCATGAAATAATTTATGTCTATTACTACATGTCTGTATTAAAAATAATTCACGCGTCTATAAATAGTATATAATAAATAGATAAATACTTATAAGATACTACGTTTTTAATTTTTAAATATAAACTTTAAACATATAAACAAATGAGTGTTAAATTATCAACAACTGTTCCTGCATAATATTATTATTACTTGAATAAACCTATTTTTATGCACAAACAAATAATTGTGTATCGTAAATTTCTCACCACTCTTGTGTGCGATGAAAACATTTTTTTTATTATTATTAATATCCGCAAAATGAAGATGCAATTTATTTATATTTTATAATATAATTGAATATTTATATTATTAAATTTTTCTTCATAGAATTGTAAATTAACTCTGGAAGTTAGGAATAGTGTTAGAAGATTTAATGTCTATCAATCATGTTCAAATTACATAATATACAAAATACATACTTAAATATCATAAGTTATTTAATAATAATATTATTATAATGTATTCGCTTCTCAGAACTTAAAAAAATAATTATATTAGCCAGTATTATCTATTGAAATTTAACAATTATGTCACATTGATTATGACTAAAGTATCACTTTTAGATCATCTTGATAAATATGGCATATACAATATTATATGGTTAAAACATTTTACATCATATTATGTATTGTGACGTTGGAATTACAAATGCAATTGGAAATTCTATACTTTTTTTTGATAGTTAATGGTTTAGTACTACAAATATATTTTTAAATGTTTTGATTAAATTAAATGTAGGGATATGTTTAAATATAAATTCGACTATTTATCTAAGTGTTATGAATATTTTACTGATGAATGCTTCGCCTTCCTTAAAAGATGCCTCCGAACAATAGACCTTTTTTTGAGACCCAACTACGAAATGTCCACAATATAATTCCTAAGAATAGCAAACAACATTTCATGTTGCGAGTTATGTGATAATAACTAAAAATGTATTACGTAAATACATTTTGATAATATAAAGGATGGAATTGAATTATACTTTCTCTCATGAACTTTATTTTGCGTTTTTTTTAAATACTAATTGTAACGTCTAAAATGATCAATCATTTTAAGTTATAATAATATAATTTTCTTGCTGCATTAAAACCAAAACACATTATGTTTTATATAATACGTGAGTAAAATTATCACGTATGAGGTCATCCTTTTTAACCCATTATTTTAAACATTTATAGTACATTTTTAAAACATAAAATGTTTTATAATTTCATCATCTAAATTAAATCCAACAAGCTTACATTAAAATTTAAAATTCCATTATTTCATAAGTAATTAAATTTATAAATCAGAGCTTCGGTACCTAGTACTTAGGTAACTAAGGTTTTTATGTGAATAATATATTTAAAATATAGTACTTAATATTTTAAATAATTTATCTTTTTTAGCAAATTGGAGAGAATAAGTTACTTTTTCTCTATTTTGGTCCTGTATCCATGAATTTATTAATTAAAAGTGTATTTTTCTGTTTTCTTATAAATGCTCTGAAACTGTAGCTATATTGTACTGTAAATTAAAGACAAATAATAAATAGTGTAATATATATAAATATAACTATTAACTAGTATTAGTTATTATAATTACCAAAGGGTAATTAAAGGATATTGGATTCATCTTGTCCACCAATGTCGATGTTTTTATAAGTACCTAATATTTAATACATTAAAAAAATGTTGTATGTTTTTGAAATGACACTTCCGGGTGAGTTGTATACAACAATGTAAAAAATATTTTAAAGAAAATATAATTAAATAATTAAATACAATTTTCGCCCGAACAAGAGTCATTTATGCAGTGCCAAAGTGTCTGCACAATAATAGTCAATAATACAACTGCGATATGTTTTATGAAAAATAAACTTACAAATCTCCTTGTATCTTCTTGTTTGATTATATATAATTATATGTTTTATTATAACTATAAATAGATAATGATGAGTAAACATTTACAGTTTATATTAATAAAATATTAAAAAGGATTTAACTGTTCTTGATAATCAATTTTTATACTTATATATTCCATGTATTTTTAAAAACGCAATTTGTTTAAACATCTAAAAACAATAAACATACAACATTTAATCATTCAAATTGAAATTGAACTTTAGGCCAATGTATCTATGCAAGAACAAGACATAATACAACATTATATATTTTGGTCATAATATTATAAATAAATTGTAAAAATTGATTTACTGCATTATTCGTTATGCAAGTTCAAACATTTATATTTTGTTATTTGTGTTGTATTATAATATTATAATATGTACTATGGAGTAATACTATGGAGCATTAAGTAATAAATAATTGTCTGTAACTACTAACTACACTAAATTTCGTTAAAGTATAAGACGCAATAATTATAATTTATTATATTATATACCTATTGTTACTCAACACTATAGTACTTTATTTTTAAGAATCTTAAAATAACTAAAGAAGTACTCTAAAATGTATGTATATTAGGTACCTTTACTTGTTTAGACTAATTTTTTTTAATCTTTTTTAATATATTGCATTATATACTTCATAACATAAATTAATTCGTATAAATGTTACATTTTTATTCCCACAGTTCAAAATTCCTTTCCTCTCGTCTGCATTGTATTCGTAGCAATTAGTCTTTTTAATCCCTGGCCTTTTCTTGTTCAAGGAAAACAAGAGTTGTTTTCTTTTGTGTCATAAGTATTCGCATTTTTCTTTGATGCCCTAGACAGTTAGACCGTTTTCATAGTTTATTACGTTTAAAAACAACAATTAATGGTATAAACTTTGTATTATAATACATGTACTACATATGATATACGTATAAGTAAACAAAAACAATATGTTAACGAGAGTAAAATTTACCTTTACCCAAATAGTACTTCCAAGTAGTTAAAGAAAAATAGTGATAATAATAGTAATTGCATGTTTGCATATTTGTAGCAAATTGTATTAATCACAATCAATTAATACCTAAAGTTAGTTTACAAAGACTTAAGATGCTTGATAACTGACATATATAATTATTCCATTGAATAATTGAATAAATGTCCAACTAAAAATGATTAATCGGTGAATATTGCCAAAAAACAGATGTAATACATTTTCTAACAACATTATAATTTACAGAATTTACTACAATAATTTTTTATGCATATTTTATGTTGAGGAAGTGTTATATTTTATAACTTCACGACAGTTTTAAATTTATTATTTTTGTTTTAAATTTAATAAATAATTTAGTGATCAATAAAATTAGTAAATTCCAATAAATTAAACAAGTTATCTTTAACTTAAGACGAAATTCTATTTCTTATAAGTTATGAATATGGAATTTGAATTTGAAATTAAAACAAATGCATATAAATAATATAATATTTATTGTTGATTGTCCATTAATAATATACCTCTAGGCACTATATTATTTATCCACTTCAATCCATTATTTAAATATGTACATAAATTACTGTGGCAATATATATTGTTCGAAGCTTTCGAATAAAATTATTTGGTTTGGAAGTATATAGATTTTAAAAGATAAACAAGATTTTGGAATCGAATATTAGAGCCGTACCAGTTGTTTGTTTTGCTGGTTTTGACAACGGTCCCAAGATACTTAACGTATCTTTCGTTATCTTTTTTTTTCGCTTCCGTAAAACGTCAGAAACACCCTAAGTACTAGAGTTTAAGTGATTCAGTTTAACCTTACATGTGTGACCTGAACCAACTCAAGCATCTGAAACCAATGGTGTTTAGTACCATTGATTATAAAATAGTTCACAATAAATTATTTAATTTTTTAATTTGTTGTTACATAGAAAACTCACCTCCAACAATTTTGGTACGGGTTCCGTCAGGATCAGCAGCTGTAGACCAAAATGGTGGATTAGTCGTTTTCCCTGGATCAATATTACACTTAGAATGTCTTTATTTGAGACGACATGGCGATCCGGAATGGACATGGACATCTGAGGCGGAAACTTATCTTACTGGTAAGATTTTAACAGTAACAATTTGAATGAATCTCAACTTGTTTTAGCATACATAGTGAAGTGATTTAATTCATTATAATTTAGGGTAACAAACAATTCTAAATATATTTCTATATTTTTATAATTTACTTTCTGCCTGACCTTCCTCCGGAAGAAATTATTTTTTTATAATTTAATTTAAAAACATAAGACTATTTTTTGGCTATACAAATAATACAACGATTACAAAATAAAAGAAAAAAAAGAAAAAAAAGAAAGAAACAGACATCGTTATCGGTGAATATATGAAAATAATTGGTAATTACTAATTAGTTAATTATTATTATTATTACAATGAGGGTTCAAAACCGGGTTCCTTCGTCTCCAAAATCAAGTTAGATTCTTTTATATATAGATAGACTACAAATACTATCATGAACGGATAGGTACTACCTATTTTTAGTATTCCATCTTATATAAACCACAGTTTCTATATCAATAAAATATCAAAACCTAGATACATCATGGGTTGATTAATATTTAATAGTTGCACAATAATCGTTACATTTTACTTGGTGACAAAGTAAGATGCAACAGCAAAAATGAAGAATTGCTCAATAGACATATATTTATATGGATTTTTTCCATCGAGTACAATTATTGTAAATCACACAACTTAGCTAAGTATCTAATAAGTACGTACAGTGACAAATGTTTAAGATATTTTTTAATTACATGGAATTGAGAGGTGGAATGAAAAAATTAAATGCAAATAAGTATAAGTTGTTTGTTTAGCATATAAAATATAAAATAAATATTTAAATATATTTTTTCATCAAATATTACTTGTGGAATTTTTATTTTATTTTTTTTATAATTTTTTTTTTATTATCGGGAACCCGCTGCAACATATGCCATTGGGTGTAGGATGGTACGGTAGGGAGTTTTTCGTATAGGCTTAGTAGGTTTTTATGTTGGTAGGATTATAACACGTGTTTGTGTATGTGTGGGAAGGATTTGTTGCTAAAAACCTGTGTGGTCACCCATCCGGGACCTAGCAACGTCAGCCGGTATGTACACTTTGAGATTCTTCATAGATGGAGAGTGCGACAGCGCCTCACCAAGTCACTATTTTTATATTTATTGTGATTGTTTTTGATGGTTTTGAACAATAGGTATTTCAATCATAATTTTAATAATAGTTTTTAATTATATAATGTAAATGAGCAAAAATTAAATCCAATAATAGTAATAATATTAATTAAATTAAAAGGAAGAGAAAATAGTCACCCATTTTATACACAAGTACCTTTAACCAAATAAGTTAGAAATAGACCAGTAGGCATTGAAGTATGTTAGGTTGACGTAAAAAAATTGTTGGCAGCTGCTCCCACCTAAATAAATCTCATCACATATACGGATGAGACCGATAATACTACCAGACGGACGTGGCACATGTCAAAGGAACGTCTGAAAAAAAAATGTCATTATTTTATGCTTTAACTTTTAAGGTGATATTACATATAGTTCTTATGAAAAATTAAGATGAAGATCTACTCGATATTCATGTTTGTGCTTATCAATTCGTGTAATGGACGCAGTAGACACTTCCTGTAAATATTAAATACACACAGTTGGCGTTTCTTTTTATTTAGATCTGCGCCAAGTTAATATATTGATGACAGAGACTTATAATTTTCTATACTATAACAGTTTACATACAATGTACTTAATTTATTTTAATATTATACAAAATCATCTTATTTTGTTCAACACATTAATAAAGTTTAAAAAATAAATATTATAAACATTGAATCTAACTATTAAAGACTGATTATTTTTGATTAAAAACTATACATATTGAAATTGTCTTTAATATGTCAATGTCTCTTCTAATTAAATATTAAATAAATAAAATTCCAACTTTATACTTAACCGATATAGTCTAGGCCCTAGGGATTTGCTTTGTTCTTTGGAAAATTGATCAACGACTTTTAAGAGATTAGAGTGACTAATTGTAATTTTCTGCTATCTTAATTGATGCCACAACACTAATCTCCACTTCGAAGCTCTATCGCGTGTGTTTTGGGTTTAACTATCTTGTATCATCCAAAATTCTCGTAGAAAAGATTTATAAGGTCAAAAATTAATAAGGGTCTGAAACCTGCTAAGGATTTTAGGATTCAGAAGTTTCTGAATACAGGATTACGATAATCTCTTCAGACGATTTTGTTTTTGGTATTTCAAAAGGCCACATATATATTATGATTTAATAATTACTTAATTATTCGCTGGAACGTATTTCAAGAAAATATATGGTATCAATATTTTATTCGATATCAAAGTTATATTTTATTAATAGTCCAGTCACAAAATATTGTCTCATAATATTATTAGGGAAATATTGAAAAACTTAAATTATAAAAATTCTCGTAGTAAAATAAGTAGTAAGTTGTTATATTTTACATTAGAAACTAATTACATTACCTTTGTAATAATTTTAAATATTTAAGAAATTCGTTGTATGAGTACTAAATAATTGTCGGATGGATATCGGGATATTCATTTGTTTCTTACTGTTAAACATGTTTACTTACTTGTTCTGTATATTATACAGGTGAAACATGCAATGTAAAATACAAATTCTGTTTTTATGTCTTCTGTCTAAAAAAAAAAAATCAAATGTGTGCAAAATTGTAATTAGTACCTATATTGCATTCATAAAATTCGATGTATTTATTTCAGTATACGATGAGGCGCACAGGTTGAATAGAGTAGCATTTAATTGATGAATAATTCAGTTGTGTCTTAATATAGTTGTTAATACGAATAGGATAGAAAAACGATCGAGACATACACATGGGGCATTCATGTTAGCGTTGTCGGTTTTATATAATTGAATGGCTATTATTCTCGGGATCTAGCTATATTTACGGCATCATTGAGGCGCCTCCGAACTTTTATATCCACACGCCAATACAAGCTAAATATAGTAATGTGCGTATGGGTATCGGATGACTACTAAATGAAACTCGTAAAACTGTCCCGGGACATAACATTCCGACGGTGTCGAATGGCTTAAAGCTGTTTGAAAACGATACGGTTGTGCTGGATGCTGTTGTGAAAGGGTTTGTAATAATAGTTCCCCAAACAGCCAATATAATAACATAACGGGTGTCCGGGAAATACATAAAACTTTGGATGGTTTATGTTTGAATCGGACACTGGTGTAGTAGAATCATTATGTGATCGTAATGAGATAACCGTACGCATATTACACTTATGAGCTTTACGCGAACTGTATTGTATACCTATCGATCATTTCCGATCGGTTTCACCACAAACTATATATAGAGAACAAAATGGTTTTTTTTTTTTAAATATTATAATATTTTAATGTTGTGCATTTTTAGCTTTTCGCTTTTCTACAATATAATAAAACACTAGACTTTCCATCAGGCGTACAGATTGATTTATTGTTATGGTCGCAGTTGTCGTCTCGTTAAACTTGATTAATTATCGTTGAATATTTATACATAACAGTTTCGATGTGGACAAAATATATGCTGGGTAGATCACGGCAACGAGGGTTGTAATTAAGGTCACCGAATTATTTAATTCGTTCTTGAATAGCAACAAAAATACATCAGATATCACAGTAAAAAATTTGTTTCAACCGTAAATATCATTTAAAATAGTCAACGCTTGATTATATTTTCCACTTAATGTAAATAGTAGCAATATAATCACATTTATTATTAACCAGATTGTATTAAGATAATTTTAAAATAATATATGCATTTAGCTAAAAGTTTTACTTTATACATAAATCAAATATTAAAATATTATACTCAATAATTTACAATAAACTAGTATTTTCAAAAACCATAAACAGTTAATAATTATATATTTATATCATATGAATTTAAATTAATATTTATTTATTTTTGACATATTAGGGTTTCGATATTGAACGGTTAAATATATAATAATAACCAATAATATTTATCCATGACGTATATTATGAAATTATTTCAAAATTTAATTATTTAAAAGGAAAACATTGTATTTGGTTTTTTTTAAACATTAGTTTTAATGTAACATATAATACCATTAAAATGTAACTTTAATATAAGTATATACTTATTAAATACATAACCTCATGTCACATGATGTATAATTAAAAAAATATTAAGTCTTAGGTAAAATGGTCCTCTAAATATTCGACTACAATTCACCTTTAAAAATTAGAAGTGAAATAATAAAGGAAGTTATGCAAAACCAAAACATAACGACAGAGTAATAAAATATATAAATTACATTGTTGTTTTTTTTTTTAAGAAATCATAATGATTTAGATGAACACTGCAGGTTCAAAATGTGTGTAATGGTTGAAGTGAAGAAAGGTATACCGAGAGTTAAAATGATGAAGGGTTCTCTTGGGATTAAATGCAACGTTTTACTAGATGGCGGTTACTACGTAGTTAGACCGTTATAATGTACGTATTAAAGTATTAAACAGCGAACAAGAGGAAAAAACAAAAGAAAAATTTGTTAATAATCGAAGCAATAATGCAGAGACGGATGTTTGATAAAATATATAATATTACGATTAACAAATGGTTGCTGAGGAAACAGTTTCCGTTCTAAAGAATTATTCGTGTACTATTACAATTTACAATTTCAATATTAACCATGTATTTTACGTTGCTAACTTAGTAATTTAACATTTGTGTCATTTTGTGCAAACTAAATGCTTTTTTTCAATAACTTTTCATATTTATTTAAAAAGATTTAAATGTTCATTTAAAATATATGTCAATAACATATATTTTGTATGTTTGTCAATAATAACACTTGTCATACTGGTGTCATATACTCGTACAATTGAAATAGGAATTAATACAAATGATATTTTGTATACATTATTATTTGCTGCATAGGTAATAGGTATACAGTATATGTCTATATGTTTCATTACCTAATTGTATTTAAAATTAATATTTCGTAGGTATAAAGAT